CAAGCACCTACCGTCTGAGCCACTCCAAGCACCTACCAATCGAGCCACTCCAAGCACCTACCAACCGAGCCACTCCATGCACCTACAGAACAAGTCACTCCAAGCACCGACCCACCGATTCACAGCCACTCTAAGCATCTACCGGTCGAACCAGTCCAAGCTCAGGGTCCGATCTATCGTCGTGTCGGTGCATTGGCTGTGGGGGAAGGGGAACGTCCTCGGTTTGCATAACTTTACTTGCACGATCCTCACCGTTTGGATGATGCGATTGATCAAAGAGTGGATTTCCTTAATTTGCCTGCACACACGTCTGATGTCGAACTTCACCGAATGAGACGAATGTTAAAAAGGTTTCACGAGTTGCTACAACAGTGTAACAACTACGTGAAGGACTTCATGACCATCGTCGACCTTCCACCGGGAGCGTTCATTGGAAGGAAGTTGGTCATAAATTCGGATGCCATGCCCGCGGAGGAACATCGGAGGCGTTACAACCGTCTGACGGGCCTACAGGAGGTCTGCGTTCTGGTCTTGCCTTCTTTATGTGACACGTTTTTTCCACGAGTTTTGTTGCATGGCTTACGCTAAGGTTGAATCCCTTCGGTTGAAATGGGTAAGATTCCATCAGAAAGACTTGCGGTCATAATATTATCAGGACCTGCAAGACGCTGTACAACAAAATCAGCACGTTGATGGTGTCGGGACAAAAATACTTTTGCCCTCCACCTTCACTGGGGGACCACGGTATATGACCGAAAGATATCATGACAACATGACAATCGTGAGGCGGTTTGGAAAACCCGATTTTTTTATCACTATGACGTGTAACACAAACTGGCCGGAGATTCAACAAGCCCTCTTGCCGGGTCAGTGTGCAACCGACAGGCCTGATCTTCTTGCCCGAGTGTTCAAAGGTTATCTCACCCAGCTCATTGACGAGATTAAGAAAAAACGGATCTTTGGGAGAGTCGATGGACTGTTATATGTGGTGGAGTTCCAAAAAAGGAGTCTGCCGCATGCACACATATTGGTCATCTTGCATCCGGATGATAAAATTTGCAATCCAGATGTTGTTGACAACGTAGTGTGTGCAGAGATTCCGCCTGAAGAAGAATTGAGAGAAAAGGTTGTCAAATTCATGTTGCACGACATTTGCGGTGAGGACAAACAGGATGCTTCGTGTACCGAAAACAGGAAGTGCACGAAAGGGTTTCCAAAATAATTCATTTCCACGACAACCTTCAAAGATGAATAAACTTATCCTTCTTACAGGAGAAGAAAACCAAGTGACGGTGGTTTTACGGTCATTCAAAATCGCATTGTTTATGATAATCGTCGAGTGTCCCGTATAACCCGTACTTGCTGATGAGGTTTAACTGCCACATCAATGTCGAATGTTGTGCTAACATCAAGGCGTGCAAGTATGTGTATAAGTACGTGTATAAAGGGTGTGATCGTGCCATGGTTTGCGAACAAGATAATGATGCACCTGTCGATGAAGTCAAATCCTATCAAGATATGCGTGTTGTTGGTGCGTGCGAGGCATGCTGGCGTCTGTTTGAGTTCGACCTTGCGGAACAGTGGCCCGCAGTCGAAAGATTGTCTGTGCATATGGAGAACATGCAAAAAGTGGTGTTCGAACCGGGCACGGAAGATCATGTTCTTTCGCGTGGACCGCCGACCAGAAAATTGACGGTATGGATGGATCACAACTCTTTAAACGCACATGTTCCTAAACACGAGCTCCCCTTGTATCTTGACATTATTAAAACTCATGTGTGGGATAATCAACATAAGGTGTGGAACAAAAGAAAGCGTGTTCTTCATAGTGCTCCTTTCGAAAAGATATCTCGATTGCATCATGCCAGGGTCACGGAAGGCGAACGCTTCTATCTCCGTGTGTTGCTACACCATGAGCACTCTCGTGGAGCACGCTCTTTTGCAKAAATTCGTACCGTCGATGAAGTCGAATACGATTCGTTCCGATCGGTGTGTCTTCGATTAGGACTTTTGCAAACCGATGATGCATATAATCAATGTATAGAGACGGCCGCACTCCATTATATGCCTGCAGAGGTTCGTAAAGTGTTCGTTATGCTTCTGTTGTTTGGCCCGGTCAACGATCCTGTTCAATTCTTTCAACGACATTGGGACAAAATGTGTGATGATTTTCTGTATCATTCGGGCTCTCTAATTCTTCCTCCGATCGTTTTGCAATGTTTGGTGCTCTTTGATCTTGACCGTATCTTGCACGAGTCTGACAAAAACATTCGTCTGTTCGGTCTTTATTATCCGACCCCTGATGGAGAAACGGTTGCCGACGACATAAACAGGCATTACGAGAACAGGACTGTGTCGTCGATTGTAAATGACAAGTTGACGTATGATCCGATTGAAATGCGAACTAGATTCGAGTCTAATTTTCGCCGTCTTCGGCCTCGCCAACGAGCGCTCGTGCAAAGAGTTGTTCGTGCCGTGGAAGAGAAACAACCGCTTTGTGCTTTTGTAGATGCGCCGGCGGGAACAGGAAAGGTTTTTTGCATAGAAACGATTTTGGCGGGGATCGGGTCACGTAATGGTATTGGACTCGCTGTGGCGTCCAGTGGGATAGCCGCAACTCTTTTGACCGGTGGTCGAACATTTCACTCGCGATTTCGAGCACCTTTGAAACCTGATAACACGCGTCCCTTCAATATTCCGAAACAGGGTGATCTTGCCGAACTTATCCGGCGTGCGGACTTGATCGTTTGGGATGAGGCTCCGATGAGTAACAAGTTCCACTTGAAAGCTCTTGACATTACGCTTCGAGATCCCTGTAATAGTAACCTTCCGTTTGGAGGGAAGGTTTTGCTTCTTTTTGGGGACTTTCGGCAGGTTTTGCCCGTTGTGAAGCATGGGTCTCGAGCGCAGCAAATTGATGTCTCTATCAAAATGTCTCCTTTGTGGAAACTCTTTGAGGTTCATTGCCTGACTGAGAATATGCGGATCTTAAGCTTAGGGGATGATCCAATGGCGCAAATGTATGACGTGTTTTTGATGCGTATTGGGAATGGGGATCATATTCATTTTGTTCCTAATGAGCCTGCCGCGGTCAAACTGCCGCATGAGATTTGCACTGATAAACCTATTCGTGATTTGATTTCCTGGACGTTTGAGGATGTGTGTGAACATGTTGGGGATGCTGACTATTTTTATGCTCGATTGATTCTCTACGCCACCAATGATGATGCGGGGTGTGTTAACGATATGGTTCTCAACGATTTCCCTGGCGAGGTGCGTGAAAGTTATAGTGTTGATTACCCTGCTTCTGATGATCACGAACTTGCTATCCAACATGAGCTCTTAAATTCTCTCAATGAGTTTGGTCTTCCGCCTCACAAACTGCAATTGAAAATTGGTGCGCCTGTGATGTTGTTGCGCAATTTGTCGCCCAAACAAGGACTTTGCAATGGCACAAGGTTAATTCTTAAAAAGATTGTTGACGATGATTTGTTGGAAGTGACCATAATGCGTACCAGTAAAACGACACTGATCCCCAAAATCGATTTAACAAGTGATGGTGAAACCACCGGGTTTAAATGGAATAGGAGGCAGTTCCCCATCCGTCTTGCGTTTGCTGCGACCATTAACAAGTCGCAAGGACAAACTATCTCTCGTGTCGGGGTTTGGTTGCGCAAACCTGTTTTTGCGCATGACCAGTTGTATGTTGCTTTGTCGCGCGTTGGTCATCCCAACAACATTCGTGTTGTGTTGCCCGACAAAAAATTTATCACAAAGAATGTTGTTTACTATGAACTTTTACAATGATTTATTCTCCTTGGTCGTATATATCTCTTTCGGACGAGTTGACAGGACATGCGCGTCACTTTTTGAATGAGTTCTTCTCTTGTGTCGTATATATCTCTTTCGGCTGATCGGTGTTGAATTTTGGTAAACTTATTTTCTTTTTTTCCCCGCAGACGAATTTGAACTGCACCATACCTATGAGACACGCGCTCAAACGAAAAAGAGGAAACAAACCGTCAATAGCAATACAACTGATGATGCTCTGAATGTTACATCTAGACAACAAGGGGCTCAGTCAAGGCCATCAAGGAAGAGCAAAAAACAAGATACATCAGATAATGAAAATGAACATACTGGTGGCCATGATATTCCGCGCGATGAAGTTGAAGGTGCTCATCAACAAACGAGCACCCTCGAGGATGCTAAAAAAATGCGTGTTGACTGTTATAACGATGATTATGATCGGCGTGACAAATCTGTGCCTGATTTTTCATTGGGTTTGGCCGGTAAGTCTCTGCTCGATGATGACGAAGATGATAGTGATACGAGTGATTCTCAAGCGATTGATTCTACAGCCAAGCGTAATCGTGTTTCTCAGGAAAATAATCTCATGGGTTCAACTCCAATTGGTGAGCTAACCCTCCGAAATCATCACAATCATGAAAATGAATTTGTCACTCATGGAGTTGTTGGAGATGTGCGTGCTCGTGATTCATGTTCGCAATCCCAACGCTCTGCACAAAGAAAGAAATCATCCACCATTGCAGCAACTACAGTTCATGGGCATGCGAGTTCAGCAATTAATACAACTGATAATGTGTGTTCAGCTGGAATGCTCGAGCATGCGTTCCCTGCGAATAGGGAGGAACGGCAACCGGTTGTTAGTGAAACGGCAAGTCAGGTTTTGAGAGCGTTGGATTGCATCTGTACCGATGAACTTGCACCTCTTCTGTTTCATGGACGACTCTCTGGACGTGCACGTGTTCACGATTCGTGTTCGCAATCTCAACACAGTCAGCGCGAAAGAGATATTTGCACCACATCATAACCACAAAATCCTTCAACACTCTGAATCTGCGTGCTTACCTTGGCAAATGGTTCGACGATGCGAAGAAGGTTGGCCTGCAAAAGTCTTGACTGAGGTGCTTTTTGAAACGTTTGTCAAAACTGCGAGCGTTGCAAAGGATGAAAATATATGGGAAAAGTTTTTGGATTGGGAAAGAAGCAAACTCACAGATATGCGGTTGGAACGAAAATCCCCTGAGACTCTTCCTTCAAACCCATTGAATGTTTCAGATTTGGAGGCTTCTTGGATGTTACAATCCCTTTTGCAGGACGAGTTCATTGCTCTCTCTAATGAGGAGATCGCTATGATGACGTTTGATTTGCCATATTGTCCGACAGAAGGGCCTATTCCCCAACCTTTTTTGAGATATGCACGGATACAACGCCTTTTAAAAAGAATTCCTCCGATGGTTCGTTCTTCCGCTCCTCATTCCGCTCCGGTCCGTAGACTCCCCCTTCCAGCAGCATCTCCTCCAACTTTTCAACGTCTTCCGGATTATGCTCCCCCATCCACTATGTCAACGTCGATTGTCACTACTTCTGTTGTTGTTTCAAAATCGCCTGCCGCTATGGCTACTCTGTCTCCTGTCGATTGTATTGTGCCCGCTCCCACGCCGTCGAGAGACCATCTCCATGTCTATACAGGACCCTTGGAACAACCAAGTTCTTCTAATTTTAACATTGCGATCTATGACTCTCTTGAATCTATTGGTCCCAAAAAGACACTTGCACACCTGTCGTATCTTGACAGTTCTCGCAGGGTGAAAGATATTGTGAAAGCAACAACGCATTTGAATACGAACATGAACACTTGGAGATGTGTGGATGCTGCCATTCATCTCAATTATAATCGGCAAAGACAGACTCGATTCGGAACTTTTGAGGAGTATCGTCGCAAAGTGTTGCAACGGGTTTCTATTCGTGAGTTGTTGCAAGAGTACTGTTCCAATGAAGGAAGTTGATATCTCTACTAAGAGAGATAGGAAGAGAGAGGTGTTGATTGGGCAGTCGTTCGTACGTTGCCTTAATCATAATTTTTTTGATGGTCTACTTTTCTTTCGGTTAAGTAATTGCGCTTACAAGACAAATATAAAGAGAGAGATAAATAAAGGCGTCCAGGGGGGGGG